GACCAACCTGCAAATTTCTCAAATTATGTTCTTTCCTCTCACACACCTCTTCCGCGTTTTGACTTTGAATCTCTCTGTATATATATCCTCTCCACTCTACAAACTAATCCACAACTCCATACCAGTTTCATCTTATTCATCATCTCCTTCTCCGATCCTTTCTCAGATTCACTAAATCTTAATCTTCATTTACAGTTTCTCCATGGAAAATGAAATTGAAGTTCCACCATATTTTCTCTGCCCCATTACCCTTGAAATCATGAAAGACCCTGTAACAGTCTCAACGGGCATAACATATGATCGAGAAAGCATAGAAAAATGGTTGTTTTCCCAGAAAAATGATACCTGCCCAGTAACAAAACAAATTCTCGTGGATTCAGAATTGATCCCGAATGTCACTCTCCGTCGAGTGATTCAATCGTGGTGCACCCTCCACTCGTCGGACGGCATAGAGAGGTTCCCTACACCGAAGCCTCCGGTCAGAAAACTACAGATAGTGAAGCTTCTGAGTGATGCCAAAAGCCCACAAAAGCAAATGAAGTGCCTTCAAAGATTGAGATCTATTGCTTCCCAGAGTGAAACGAATCGAAGATGCATGGAATCAGTTGGTGTACCCGAGTTTTTAGCATCGTTAATTGTGGAAAGAATCAGGGAATCATCATTACAAGAAGTAGAAGACAACGAGTCTGACGAAATGACTACAGGAAAATATGATGAAGCCTTGAGCATTCTCCATCAATTACAATTATCAGAAGGTGGCCTTCAATGCCTTATGCGCTACAGAAATGGCGAATTCGTAGAATCCTTAACGCGGATAATGCTACGTGGGAGCTACGAATCTCGAGCTTACGTTGTTATGCTATTGAAATCCATTTTTGAAGTAGCTGATGACACGATGCAGCTGATCAGTGTGAGATACGAATTCTTCACTGGCCTTGTCCAAATTCTGCACGATCAAATATCGCGAAAGGCCTCAAAAGCCGCACTCAAAGTGCTAATCAGTGTCTGTCCATGGGGAAGAAATAGGGTCAAAGCCGTAGAAGCTGGTGCAGTCCCTCTACTAATCGATCTTCTTCTCAATCTCGACTCATCGGACAAAAGGGATTGCGAGATGATCTTAATGGTTCTTGATTTCCTATGCCAATGTGCCGAAGGAAGAGCTGAATTTTTGAAACACTGCGCAGGATTAGCCATTGTATCCAAGAAAATTCTTCGTAATTCTCAAGCTGCAAGCGAAAGGGCTGTGCGAATTCTCCATTCAATCTCCAAATTCTCGGCCACTACTGGTGTTCTCCAAGAAATGCTGCAACTCGGCGTTGTAACAAAATTGTCTCTGGTGATGCAAGTTGATTGTGGAAGAAAAACAAGGGAGAGAGCAAAAGAAATTCTTAAAATGCATGCTAAGGCTTGGAAGAATTCTTCATGTATACCTAATCACCTGCGTGTTTCATATCCATATTGAGATGACATACAATTTTTTGTGTATATATAATTGGATATATGTTAGAACATGATAGAGATCAATACATGAACATAATGGTCATGGATTGAAACTGTGATTTTTTTGCAAGAGAATGTTTCTGATTTTTTAGGGAAAGTATAAGTTTAATAGGTTTGATCGTTCATTGTATTCTTTTACCTCCATTCAATTGATTTAATTTTTTTCCGTTGGATCTTTATCCACAAGTCTTTCCTTTCAACAAATTGAGCCGATAAACTCTATGAATTCGGACGAAGTTAAAAAGAGTTTTACGCAAACAAACATGATAAAATGAATATAAAGGACACGGAGATATTAAAGATGGTTGTACGATCATAATAAAATAAAAAATGATAATATATACCGGGAATAGAGTTTCACCGATTAATGAAAAATGAGAGGATGACAATTCAAGTGCTTCGAAATTAAATTGTCTTGCGTATTCGTATAAATGCTATAATGCAATTTCGAGCAAACGTGAATATCCTATTTTAGTAGTTAAGCATCTAATTGTTTGAGTGCTTGTTCAAAACATTTTGCTCAACTTTTTAATTGATCAAACTCCAATGTTAACTAAGCATTTCAATTCATACATTCCACAATTTTTATTGATTTTAAATTACACATTTCATCATTATATTTTTTTTAATCAAAATATGCTAAAATTTTTATTAAATTTTTTTTGTCAAACAACTCTTTAATATTTCTGTATGAACCAAATAGAAAGGCATCGTTTTATTGTTGACTATCCGTAAGAGGCACAAAAGAAAGGTGAAATTGACATCAAATTATTTAACAAACCATTGAAATAAATTGTCAAAAAGTTTCCAATCAGTTGAATCAATAATAGCCGCTTTTGTGGAATAGAAATATTTCTCGAAGTTTCGCGAACGTTGCTAAATTTGAAGAATTTCAAGCCACGTGATTAATGGCTCAACTAGTTACTTTTCTTGGGCCAAGTCATTGGAATTTAATAGAGATGGATGGTCCAATGAGAAGAGAAGAAAAAGTAAAGATTACGGGTTTGAATCTTTTCGCCATCTAATATTACACATACAAGTTGGGGATGGTTATGTCTAAACGTGTACAAGAAAAAGTTGAAAGAGTAGTTTTGCGTATCTACNTCTAATATTACACATACAAGTTGGGGATGGTTATGTCTAAACGTGTACAAGAAAAAGTTGAAAGAGTAGTTTTGCGTATCTACACCTTGAATTGAGAACCTCATAAACGTAGTTGAATGCAAAAACAGTGGATTCGCGTGCTTGTGCAAGTGTTGATCGAGTCTCTTGTCATGTCTAATAAGTGTATTTTATACACTTATTTAAGGCTTTAAAATGATGACATTTAGTTGCTTTTTGGATAAACTATAATCTAAATTGTTGCATTTAATATTAAATAGATAAAATTGAATGATTGTACAAAAAATTGAAATAAGCAAAAAGTGGGCAAATTGGATAAAATAGCTAAGTTGTAAGAGATCCAAAGTTTAAGCACTAAAGTGCAGATACTCAAAAGTTGTGTCGGACCTCATGATGAAGATTCAAGAGTGCTCGGAGTCAATTGGATAAAGAAAGACGTCAAAGAAATGAAACATAATCAAAGTATGATCACACGTCAATTTCCAACCGAAAAAAAGGTTATACATTGGTGTTGACCTTATATTGAGACCCATTTTTGACATAGCAAATGATTGAATTTGAAAATGATGTCTGAATCAAAGTTGTATCCTTTTGAGTTAGCTTTTCAATACATCTTGAATCGCCCCAATCAAACATTGAAAGAAAAAGTGATGATAAAAAAACTGAAAAAGGGCAGCCAAAATTTTTCACTCGAAGGTGGCGCCGCGGCGCCACTTCAAGGTGTCGAGGTGCTGCCTGGATACGTATAGGGTGCGTTTTTTGCCTGTTTTGATGTCCATAAAAATTCTACTTTCTACACAAATCCCCGGG